TGAAGATCTCCTTGAGAGCAGCCCTGTGGAGAAGGACTCGGACCTGGTGGACAAGAAGCTGAATGAGAGCCGGCAGTGAGCGCTTGCAGCCTGGAAGGCCAACCGCGTTCTGGCTGCATTAAAAGAGGGGTGGCCAGCAGGGAGAGGGAGGTGATTGTCCCCCTCTACTTGGCTCTTGTGAGGCCCCATCTGAAGTACTGTGCCCAGGCCTGGGGGTCCCAGCACAAGAAAGATGCAGAGCTCTTGGAACGAGTCCAGAGGAGGGCCACTGAGATGATCAGAGGGCTGGAGCACCTCTCCTATGAAGAAAGGTTGAGGGAACTGGGATTGTTTAGCTTGGAAAAGAGAAAGCTCCGGGGAACCAAGGAGGTTGCAGGTGCCCCATCGCTGAAGGCATTCAAGGCCAGGCTGGATGTGGCTCTGCGCAGCCTGGTCTAGTGGTTGGCAACCATGCCTGTGGCAGGGGGTTGAAACTAGATGATCTTTGAGGTCCTTTCAACCCAGGCCATTCTATGATTCTATGATATGATTCTATGATCTTTAGATGATGGAAAATATAGTTGTAAAGCACAGTGGTAGTAAATACATTGTCCCATTCACTGTGTTAACCTGTATAGAAAATAAATATGCCCTGCTGCACAGGTTTCTTCTCAAATAATTTTAACAACTAGATGAACCACACAATCAAACAGAATTTGGGCAGCTTTGTAACATCTTCTTAGTGTAAGCTCCTTTATCTCCCTGATGTTAAATTCTTATCTTTGTAGTTTCAAATTATTATTCCCCTTCTGCTCCAAGCTTCTCTGTCATACAAAACTCAAAGCTTCTTTTGTCCCTCCTACCAAAGACAACTGGAACATTTTTTCCAATACAGTGTAGTCTTCTTAAGAATTATCCCCAACATCATAGTGATATGCTTGAAGATATGAGCTCATGTTTTTTCATCCCATCAGTATAATAAAGATGCCCTCTGGAATCAATAATTTCTCTAAAGTAATTAATTCAATGGCAATTTTCCAGTGAACCATGTGCTCTTTAATTGACCAGAATATAGTAAAATAGCTGATTTTCAAAAGCTTTATCTTTTCCATTTTAGTGTCTGTGTTTCCACAATTAAGACCTCTTTCTTACAGTCATGCTAAAGGCTCACTGAAGGTGAGCTTCTGGAACAATTTGTACCAAAGTCCCATAACTGATTTCCATTTCCTTCTCTTTCCTTAAGTCCTTTGTGCCTACTGCTTAGTGGCTATTGCCTATTTGAAATAATACAGGGAGTGTGAGGCAGTTCAAAGCTGTAAAAACAAACTTAGGCAAACTGCTCCTAGCTGTATTCTGTCCTGATTGCAACTGCTTTCCTCACAGCACATCTGCCTTGTGTGCACATTTGCCATGCAGCCTTATATATTGGTGACAAGCCATTCCGGGAAGATTTGTGCAATATTTTTTACTAGTAGCACAGTAGCAATAAACAGTAGCTCCAGTAATAACTTAGGCATTTTTGCTTGTGTCCTAGCTTGGTAATCATAAGTCTTCTGGGAAAGTTGTGTAGGTAAGTGGTTAGACAGGAGTAGTTTGAAGTATTACTTATGCTGACAGAAATATTAACACGTGTGACCAAATCATTAGCATAAATGTATTATATAATGAGAAGTAAACATGATAGTCTGTCTTTAACAGTCCTACAGCCATTTTTACAACATTACTATAACAATTTTCATTTCCTTCTTTATATCCTTTACTACTGAGATAATTGCAGGCCCACTCTACATTGACTAAGTCTTTTTTCAGCACCCTTGTATCTTTTCTTTGTCCCTATACTTCAACAGTATACTCAGCTTTCCCTTCCTTTTCATCACCTGTTTGGTTGAAGAAAAGGAAGGGAAGCTCTTGCTCCCAATAGGCTGCAGTTACTCACATGTTGATCAGCCACCTTGCTTTTTTGTTTTGTTTTCTTTCTTTTTTAAAGAAAAGTATAAATATGGTCTGCTACTACTACAGTTAATTTAGTTTTCTATGTTCAGGCTATATTAGCAAGAATGTAGTTATCACAGGATGGAAACTGACACTTCTCTCAGCACTTCTCAGACATTTACTCAGAAATTGTGAGATCAGAGATGGAGTCTTATGCCTAGGTTTCACTCCCTGGTACAAGAAATGAAATGGCAGATAGGCAGAGGAAGGTCAACAGAATAGCTAGTGGCTGGAACAAAGAAAGCATCTGAGTCAGTCTGGTTTAACTCAGCCTGTATTAAAAAAGGCTAAGAGGAAATATAATTGCAGTCTTCCACCATGTAAAGTTGGTTTATAGAAAAGACAGATTCTTCTCCAGGCTGCACATTGAAAGGACAAGAAGCAATGAACATAAGATAATTTCTGATAAGATAAGATAAATTCTGATTAAAGGCAAGAAAAAAAATTTCACACAACAGATGGTGAAGCATGGAAGCAGATGTCCAGAGCTTATGTGGACTCTTCATCCTTGAGATATTCAAAGCCTGACTGGACATGCTTTGAAGACAGCATGAAATATTGAACCAGACAATGTCAACAGGTTCTTTTCAATTTAAATTAATTAATGATTTCATAACTTCATTATTCTTTCTCTGTCATATTTACTTAAACTTCACCAAAAGACTTAAAAGTTATTTAATAGGAACTGCAGAGCTGGAGGGAAAAAGTCACTGACAAACATATGAGCAAACAAATAACATAAATTTATAACATTCCTTTTCCTACAGGTATACTTGTCCTACCACAGAAATGGTAGACAACTAGCAAACACCATTCCTTGCTGAATGTTACTGTGTTCAGTAACAAAACCAGATTAGGGTTAGGAATTTTCGTCTGGACCATACTGAATGCAGATACAGTCTAATGCTGTATTATTACTGCCCAGATCCCAGTGCAGGCATAGAATCACACTGTTATGGTTACTCCTGTTTGATGAGATATTTCTAGGGAAGTTCTTCACAATACAAGGAAATACTTTAGCAACATTAAAAATTAACAGGTTAAAGCATTAAGCAAACCTCAGACAATGACATGGTAATCAGAGAGGTAAGCATCAGTAAAACAAATGGACAGGAACCGGTTTGGCTAGCTCAGAAATCTATCTGAAGTATGAGAGTTCACCTAAGCTGTTGTTTGAGAGTGTGAGAACAGGCAGGAGAGAGGAAGATGAACCTATGCAAATTTTACGTATTATCTTTTGTTAAAATGTGACGGAAGCTGTGGAGGAGGAGCATCATTTCAGGACAGTTTAAAAGCCAGAAGGCAGTCTGTCCATTTGATATAAGACTCTCTTCTTCAAGGACAGAGATGTGGTCAAGGATTCTTCCAAGTGTTGTCACCTTGAGCTGGATTGTCGCAGTGTCTTCTGAACTGTAAGAGAATATACCTTGTGCTTTTATGACATAATAGTTAAGTTTGTTTCACTTCAGTTAATTTATTCTGGGACATTGCTATGTAATACACTGGGCTTTTAAGAACTGATTCTGAAATGTGTTTGAAATGAAAATATCTAATACTGAAGTGTGATTTGAAATGATGATCTCCATTACAAAGCTTCTGCAAAATCTGAGTGACAGAAACCTAGAACTGGAGAAGATTAAACCTGAAGTGCATGGGTAAGACTGGGAGGAGATTCAAGGCTAGGTTAGCAAGTGATGATCAGATTTGGAATGCACTGGAAATACATAGAGAGCATGGCATATGAGGAGGTCCTCAAGACAAATAATGGCTGGTAGCAGGGAGCTATGCTGAACTGTAAATCTGTTACTGTTATTCTTAATGTTATTGTTACACCTCCTGTGCTGTGGATGCTTATAAAGCACTGTCAGTGTGGATGGCTTTATGAAAACAGAAAATTTCAGTCACAATTTTCAAAAATACACCAACATGAAAGCTTAAGTCCCTTTCTCAAAAGTGCTGAAGGGAAACATTGTGAAAGTCAGATGGTTCTGCTTTCTCAGATACAATTTTGGTTTCAATAAACTTACTTTTGGTGTTTGCATATCATACAGTCTAACGTAGGCAAGTGAAAATAACAGTAAGTATAATATTAATGAGCAAAGCTAGGAAGGGAAAAAGGGAAGGGATCATATGATCCGGAAAATTTTGTGTGATTCATGAACACCAAACTCATCAATTCTGTCATACATTATTTGGAAAGACCAGTTTGGACATCAGAGAACAGTAAACCAGCAACAGAAACTTAGTCAAATATAGCAAATCTCTAGAAATGTTTTTTTTAGAGGAAGAGTTTGGGGAACAAAGGCTGCACTAATTATAGAGGACATTATATCTAAAAATATCTAATGGAAGAAAGAAGCAAAGAGAAAAACAGAAAAGGGGTAGAGCATGCAGGCTAGATTGAATATGGAACATTTCCTGGAATATTCTACATTCTGCATTATGCTGACTGCCCTATGATATTTTAGTTCTTATCTGGAGGGAGAGTTATCCAGAGAAAAAGAACTTAAAAAATTACTGCAACAATTAACTAGTATTTTTGCCAATGATCTAAAAAAAATTGTCACTCTTTTTTATGGGAGGTTCCAGAGGGTTAAGTATACACATAGGTTGTCAGAGGATAAATACGTTTATGCCTTTTAACTGCTCAGACATATTATTAACTGGAACTGTCTGAACACCTGGAATGAAAAGATGCAATATCATGCTGGATAAGAGACTGCATAAAATGATGCCAGTCCTTCAGCTCACAAAGAGCAATGAGGAACAGAAATTTGTCATTTGTACTTGGAATATTATCCAAAATTAATTGAAATAAATGGAAATCCTCCCAATAGTTTGTGCAAGTGTTGGCCCAAGTCCCACATCTTCTTTCACTTGTATAATATTTCTATGGTATTTTCTCTCTTGTTTGCCCTCACCTTCCTCCATGACTGATCTGTTCTCATCTTCTTGCAGTCAATATGTGCTGCTGGTGCCAACCGTGGTGCGGAGCAACTCTCCACAGACTGCTTGTGTGCAATTTCAGAGTCTCAGTGAGCCTCTGTCTCTGAGTGTTGTTCTGGAATACAGCAATGTACAGACAACTCTCTTTGAGGAGTTTGTGACAGAAAATGATTATTTCACGTGCTGCGACTTCAAGGTATTTTCTTTTTTGAGAACACTGCAGAGGATGTAGAGGCTTGAAATATTTCTGAGTGCCACTGTCTTTGTCAATGATGGAAAGAATGTAAAGAGTGCAGTCCTGGAATATGACATAAAAAAGATAACTTAATGAAAAAGTTGCCAGTAAAGAGAGAAAAAAGAAAGCCATGTGGTCTGTATGGGGGTGCTGGAAAATGGCTTTCCATCTTCGTTCACAAATAGGAAAATTCTTTTGATTGCTGTCCCAGGTGCATGCCTTTTCTGTGACTGCAAAATCAGAACAGGTATGTCAAAAAAATAGCCAAGATTAGGTCTTCTAGAACAGGGCTATATGGCTGGGAATCTACCTGTAGGCAGGTAGCTACAAGAGATGAGGAAATGCTTAGGACAGAACATAGTTTAAAATCTTGTTGCCTGATGACAGATTGAAGGATTTCCAGAGCATAGATTCCCAAATGCTCTGTCGCTGGCAAATGTGAGTTTTCCCATGACTTTGCAGAAGCTGTTAATGATTCATTTGATAGTCAACTAAAGAATCTGGATCATCAGGGCACCTCAGCATGCCTCATTTACCACTTTTCTTCTGGGGTTTTGTTTCTCTCCAGGTTCCTCCTGCTACATCTGATCCCCTGGCATTCATATCCTTCTCTGCCAAAGGCAACACAGTCAACTTAACTGAGAGAAGATCAGTGGCGATTGAGAATGTGCATAACACTCTCTTCATCCAGACAGACAAGCCCATCTACAAACCAGGGCAAAAAGGTTGCTGGGGAGCTGGAGTCAGCTAGTGAACTAGGAAACTGAGTGCAAGATTGGGTCAAGAATAACAAACGCTTCTTTTGTGGAGGAAAAGTCTGCAGACTGCAATAGCAGTGTATAGCATATTGAGCATAATTGTCATTAGATAGTGTATGTTGTCTGACAATGACCTTATCAAAAGTCTATGAAAAATAGAATCAATTCATCAAACTGCAAGAAATGAGTAGAGTTCATTTGTCTTTTCTAAGTTAATTTCATTTACAGAATCTTGAGTTCTGTTGGGTTTACTGAGGTCAGTCATGTAAAGAATATCCTTAAAAATACATAAAATAATAGGTTAAGCTCAGAATTAATAAAAATAAAAAAAAGCATATAGTTTCCTGTCAACAGCTCTCTACACTTAACTGCTAATCTATTTCATAAAGCTGATTTCATTTCCATATTTAAATAACTACTATCAGTGGTTTGGTTAGTTATATTTTTAGTATAATCATGTTTCAGTGCTTCACAAGGTTTACAGTTAGATAAACACACTTTCTTCCCTGTCTTTCATTTTTTCATTGAATTGGTTTGTAAAGATAGTTTCTTAGGAAATGCTCCAAAGTACTGAGTCCTTAAAAATGTTTGTATTAAGGACACTTCAGATAATAAGCTTGTTTTCTTTTCTTCCTTCCTTCCTTCCTTCCTTCCTTCCTTCCTTCCTTCCTTCCTTCCTTCCTTCCTTCCTTCCTTCCTTTCTTTCTTTCTTTCTTTCTTTCTTTCTTTCTTTTCCTTTTCCACTATCTAAAATAATCAAGTCCTTTCTAACACTCCAGTTCTCTGAGGACTCATTAGTTCTTCTTAAAAGCCTGCACAAATTTTGTTTCAGTTATTCACTGAGACGAACTTACCATTACAAAAGCAAATGATTCTCTTTTGTCCATCTTTTTCAGTGATGTTTCGTGTGGTCACTTTGGATAGCCAGTTCAGACCTGTTCAGGAGACAGTAAGTAAGAGTGATAGTCAAGATTTTTTGAGCATGACCTTGAAATACTGTTCATAGAGACTCCCTGACTTGTATATTGAGTAAAAGGAAGCTGGAATTGTTCCCAGTGTTCTTAGAGAACTGCTGTAACTTCATACTCTATCCATTTCCTACCTTTATAGAAGGCAAGGTTTCTGAAAGCACTCCTGGAAATCTCTCAGTACTCAGATTTTGTAGTCACTTCTCTTCAAATGCCCCTGATATGTAGAAAGAGATTGGATGTCTTTATATAAAAGATAGATTCATAAACAGGTTGTATCCTAAAATTATCTCTTAAATTACAGACATGAATTTCAAATTGTTTCCTTAACCCAGTTTGCAGTATTCAGAGGGGTTCAACTGGTATTTTTCAAGCTCCACAGTTGATTTCTTTATGCTTTGATAACTTTTTCTTTTTTCTCTTTTTTTTTTCTCCTCCAGTATCCCCGAATCATCATTAAGGTAAGAGATGCACTGTCATTAAAGTGACAGTTTCTTTGGAAATGTCAGTGCTGTCATTTCCAAAACATGACTTTCTCATTTGCCTTTTGAAGTGCATGCTCCTCACTAATTCAACTGTCAATATTAGGCATCCAGAACAAGTGAAATTGATGTGTCCAGTTCTGGGCTCTGCAGTTCAAGAAAGACAGAAAACTACTGGAGAGAGTTCAGGAGGACTGCAAAGATTAAGGGCTTGGAGTCTCTCTCTTATGAGGAAAGGCTGAGACTTGAAATTGTTCAGCCTGGAGGAGACCGAGAGGGGATGTTATCAACACTCATATCTAAAGGGCAAGTGTTGAGAGGATGGATCCAGCCTCTTTTTGGTGATATCCAGTAAAAGGAAAGGGGCAACAGCCACCAACTGAAACATAGGAAATTCCATATGAATGTGAGAAATAACTTTTTTACTTTGAGAATGACAGAGCACTGGAACAAGCTGCCCGGGGAAGCTGTGGATTTTCTTTCTCTGCAAATATTCAAAACCTATATGGATGCTTTCCTCTGTAACCTAATGTAGGGAACCAGGGGTGTTGGACAAGATGATCTCCAAAGGTTCCTTCCAACTCTTACGATTCTGTGACTCTGTGATTCCCATCTTCATTTAGGAAAAGTACCAGGCACTGTAGCAGAAGGCTCACAGAAAAGTGTTCCTAGATGATACCATCTCTAGTATGCAAGAACTGCGCTTTCAGATGCCTGTCACTATGTGAAATTCATTCATAACTAATCCTTTGCAAAAGTATTTAACAGAATTATAAAGGAAATACAAATCATTTATTCTTAATAGTAGTGTAGCAGTTTCAAGAATCACAGCGCAGTCTAGTGTCTGAGTCAGATGTTACTGTTACTGTTACAACTGATTTGTTACGATTTTGACACTGAACGTTTTATTCCAGAGTTTCTGGAACTTAACACTGATGTATTCCAGCATGACTTAACATCTTGAGAGCAGCCCTGTGGAGAAGGACTTGGGGGTCCTGGTGGACGAGAAGCTGGACATGAGCAAGCAGTGTGCGCTTGCAGCTGGGAAGGCCAGCTGTGTTCTGGGCTGCATTAAAAAAGGGGTGGCCAGCAGGGAGAGGGAGCTGATTGTTCCCCTCTGCTCGGCTCTTGTGAGGCCCCATCTGAGATGATCAGAGGGCTGGAGCACCTCTCCTATGAAGAAAGGTTGAGGGAACTGGGATTGTTTAGCTTAGAGAAGAGAAGGCTCCAGGGAACCAAGGAGGTTGCAGATGCCCCATCGCTGAAGGCATTCAAGGCCAGGCTGGATGTAGCTCTGCGCAGCCTGGTCTAGTGGTTGGCAACCCTGCCTGTGGCAGGGGGTTGAAACTATATGATCTTTGAGGTCCTTTCAACCCAGGCCATTCTATGATTCTATGATATGATTCTATGATCTTTAGACGATGGAAAATGTAGTTGTAAAGCATAGTGGTAGTAAATACATTGTCCCATTCACTGTGTTAACCTGGATAGAAAATAAATATGCCCTGCTGCACAGGTTACTTCTCAAATAATTTTAACAATTAGATGAACCACACAATCAAACAGAATTTTTGGTTTATGGTTTGTTTGTTATTTGCTTACATATTTAATTTACAGGTTCAAATCTAGACCCTTCTCTCTTTACAACTCTGCCTTTATGTAATCTCTCCCATTTGTTTTCACAACACTTTCCCCATTGTGCCACAGCAAAGTGTGCATGCAGGTGCTGGCATTTAGACATAGCTCATCTGAGTGTCAGTATCTGACAAAGGCTTATCCAGAGCACATAATCTAAAGACAAAGAACAGGAGGAGTCAGCAGAACCAGAGGTGTTAGTTGAAGGTGGCAAAAAGTTGGTGTTCCTTTTGTTAGGATTCAAACATGGGTGTTTAGTATGGTCTTATGTTGGTAGGACTGCAGCAAATTGGAATATTGAATAGAGTCACCTGCATACAGGCAAAAAAGAGTGTCTTTCTGAAATGTCATCTTCTGCTATAAGCAAGGCAAACATTAAGTCAGTGTTCTACCGCATTCCATTTCAAGGGGGTTTAGCACAATGTTCCTATTTGACATAAGGAAGAACAGAATCAAAAATACTCATACTAGAAGAGCTACAGATAAGCAACCTGAGTCATAATCAGATACTATTCATGGATGATCTGAGATCATCTGGCAGTGTAGGTAATTTTCAGGTAAACTTAGACTTGGGCCTGTTTAAGGCACAAAGAGATCTGGAAAACGAATGGTAAGTCATATCACACATGCCATCAGTTCATACTCACATTCATACGGTAAAACATTAAGCCAGTATACCAGGACAGGAAATTTAAAATAAGCCAAGAAAAAGGGTGAGAAAAGTTTTGATGCTTCTCTTTATCCCACTCCCCAGGACCCAGAGCAAAATCAGATCTTCCAGTGGTTGGATGTATCATCTATGCATGGCATTATCCAGCTTTCGTTCCCATTAATTGAGGAGCCAATTCTGGGGTCTTATCATATCATTGTGGAGAAGAAGTCAGGGGATAAGGAGCATGAATACTTCACAGTGGAGGAATATGGTAAGCAAGAATTGTGAACTTCCCCAGAGGCTGGCTCTGTCTAAGTCTGATAGGAGCTGTGAGAGCAGAGCTTAAGTGCTTTGAAATCTCCTATTCATGTTTAAAAAAGAAAGACATGGTGAGAGCTGAATGAACAAGTAAAAGCAAAGAGTAAAAAAAAAGAAATAGTGAGAAAGACAGCATTTTTCAGGAGTTAAATTAGGAAATTAATTCTTCTCTGAGCTTGGCTCAAAATCACTGTGTGAGTTTGGAATCCATATTCTACCACCCATGTATTACATTCTCTACCTGTAAAACAAATGAGTCACGAATCATTCCTTCATGCTTCATGGAGATCAGCAACATAGGAAGAGTGATAGAATAATATATGCAGCAGAAATCTTTAAATATTCTCTATCAGACATCAGATGATGGTTATCAGCATGTTATTGAAGAGGCTGGATAACCACTGGAAGAACAAGAAGGAAAAAAAACAGGCAGTAGAGAGACCCCATAATAATCTGCTTACTCTGGAATAGACCATATCATGGGAGTCAGACTATTCATTTTAATATTACATGTTTTAAAACTTATGGTGGCAGATTTTCCTTAGGATCCTAGATTATTTATTTTTTGTTTGTTTTACTGTTTGATTGTGTGTGTAATGACAGTAAAGCACCATTCCTGCTTGCCCTATGGACTTTCTTCAAGCCTTCCAGTTCTCTGTGTACAGGTGCAAAAGAAAAATTCTATTCTGGCTGTGTTGTCATCATTGCTGGTAACTTGTGACAAAAGACAGGCTGAAAAGAGGGTGTGACAGTGTGTTGGGACTTGTTTGGTTCCACTATTTTACTTACCCTGTTGCCTTCCTACTTGAGTGGGGTTGGATTGCATAATATCTTCTGTTCTACAGGGACTAAGTACTTTCAGAGACATCAACGTCACTCCCACATTGCCCCTAAAGAAAACGTTTTTATTGTGACTGTTGTTATTATTATGATTATTCTTGCATTTTAAATAAGTTTTTGATTTTACCCATAAAGTTATTGCCTGATAACATCCTACAGCTAACTCTCAGATATACTTTTCTCTCTCAAACATTTAAAAATGCTTCTGCTGGTTCTTTTTAATTTTTTTTACTGTCTTCCTCTTATGCACCTGTCTATGGTATGCTACTGCTGATCAGTCATATTCACCTTGTATTTCCAGTTCTGCCAAAGTTTGAAGTGACAACCAGCACACCCAGGAGGATCTCTTTCTTTGATGAAGAAATCAGGGTGAATGTTTGTGCCTTGTAAGTAAAAGAGCTGAGAATAACATGTGTAAACAAGGACCACAGGAAAGAGGATAGTGTGAAATGCTGTGAAATAGGGAGCCCACTACTGATTCATGTATAGACTAGAGCAATTTATTTAGCTATGACTTCCATGACATGAAAAATAATGATAACTCTGCTACACTGCAGAATTAGAATTTTGCGAGTTAGTGTGTCTTAACAGTCTGAAGGTATTAAGTGGTACAAACTTGCTAGGTTTAAGAAGCAGAGAAATAGTGGAGGACTATCATTAAGATTTCTGTATGCGACACTGCCAAGGGGCAGGGTAGCATAAGCCTGAGAAACAAGGACTGCCATACATCTTGCTTCATGTAAGGCAATAATAAGAAAAGAAAAAAAGCAAGCAGAAGGAAATGATATCCCAAACACAAGCCCAGCATCCCTTTCCAGCTTCAGACCTTAAAGAATGATTCAACCAAGACAATGGTAAAGTAGGTTTTTTTAAGTCAAAGTCTGCGTAAAAATAATTGAGGAGAATTCAGGTAGGACTAACAAGTTCTAATTCCCAGTTACTTTTCTGTTTGTACTCTCGGCACTCCTAAGGGATTTAGAGTCTGCACCGCTTTGCAGTCTTTCTTGTTTCATGCTAAGTCCACCTTTAAGTTGATCATTATTGGATTCTTGTGTCTCATCCTCTCCTAGGTACACTTATGGCCAACCAGTGCAGGGGATTGCCCGAATCAATGTGTGTCAGCAACACTTTTATAATCCACGATGTCAGCAAAGCCAGAAACCAACCTGTGAAGCTGTCACTGGATTGGTATGATATGGGGCTATGCCCTTCTTCCCAGTGAACTTTACTACTCAACACACTGTGCAAGGTTTGGAGACCACATTTGTTTCCTGGAGAACATCAGACAGATAATCCCAGAGGCATATTTTTCTCACTGTTTCACAGATAATTCTGAAAGAACACAAATGTAGTTTTTACCAGTGACCTCATCAGGAGACTGGTTTTTGCCCCTTCTCCTCAAGAAGGCAGGAGAAGAGAAATTATTTTTCATTAGAAATTTGAGTTCTGTCTCAGAAGAGTCAGTAGGAGAGAGGAGAGCTTATAAAACTATTAATTCATGATCATTCCTGAAACACTGTATGTGTGTACTTACCAAGGATAATCAGCAGACCTCTACTGGGAGTCTTTGAGGACAGTGTTAAATTGATATTTGATTTCTCATCTAGATCAGATTCAAAGTACTTTAAAGAACTAAGCTCCTATCAGAGAGCTCATTCATCATGCAAAATGTGCTTAAGAAGGGATGTGAGTAAAGGGAGAAGGGAGGAGAAAGGATTTCAGGTGTGTAGGTGTATGAGCTTGCAACAATGAACTGTGAGGGGAGCCAAGGAGTAAGAAGTTTAAGATAAGAGGAGAGCAAGTAGGTGATAAAAGCTAAAGGAAATGCAAGCAGAGGCATGAAGCTCTACAGGGACCCACTAATACAAGCTTAGGAGCGTTTTTCCAAATCTTGAGAAAAATAAGTATTCCTCTTTTTACTCCTTTTTCAGCTGGAAAACAATGGTTGTCTCAGCACTGTTGTCTCCACCAAAACTTTTCAGTTGTACCGCAGCTATTCCAGGATGTATGCCAGCTTAAACATAGAAACAGTCATCACTGAAAATGGGACAGGTAATACTAAGTGAAAATAGGGAAGTAGCTAAACTGAAGTACCCTAAATCTCACAGGTGATACTTCTTCAGAGGAATCTCCTGGATTCTGATCTTTTCATCAAATAATGAACAACTACCATTTTATCTGTGTAGCTCTCTGTCCAGAAAATCACATCTCCATACTGCTTTTCAAAAGAGACTGTTTTCTGCGCATTTCTGATTTCTGCTTCCTTCCCTTTCTTATGGGTGTGTCTCACAGGTATCCAGATGAAAAACTACGACTATGTTGCAGTCAGCCAAGAAAATGACAGAGTGATGTTCAGGAACATGGATCAGTACTACAGGAGGGGAATTCCTTACTTTGGTGAGGTGAGTAGCTGAGAAGATACAGTAGAGCAGAACTTGAAGTCCAGCAGGATCTCTACATTGCCCCGTTTGTGGCCGTCCCTTACTCTGTAATAACAGCTTCCATCAATAATGTCACATAAAAATGACTGCTTCATATGTCTGTCATTATGTTAGAAACTTTTAGAGAAAATCAGAAAATTATGCCCTAATGCCTAGTGTGTAACGGAGTCCTTTTAATGCCTGAGAAATTAGTAAATGAAAGGCCACAGGTGGTGAAGACAGATACGCAAAAAGCTATGCTCACAACACCAGTGCCTAAGCTGAAGGTAGAATTTACTTTACATTGTATCACACCGTCCTGTGGATGTGTACTTAAAACAGTGTAACTGCTGGAACACATCCAAATTCTTCCCAACCTGTACACCCAATATAAACCCTGGCACAGAAAGAAGGATGAAATGTACAGCATTCTCCTGATTCAGAGTGCAGAAGGAAGGTAGTGTGTGGATCTCAAAAGACAGGAGATATTAACGAGCCCTATGTTACACATTTGCCTCTTAAATACGCATGCATTTCTCTTGAGTTCTACTCTCTGCAGATGTCCATAGTGGTTAAGTTACTGTTCTCTGGTGAGCAGAATACTTATCATCCTTTACTTTTTTTTCTTTTTTTTTTTTTTTAACCTGAAACTTCTGTGTATTCTTTGTGTTTAGATCACTGTGACAAATGCAGATGGCAAGCCTGTTGCCAGTAGGGTTGTCGTGCTGGAGGTCAATGGAGAATACCAGGCCAACTATACCACTGATGAGAATGGCACGGCAGTCTTTTCCCTTGACACATCCAACTTCTTTAATCCCAGTGTTCAACTTAGAGTAAGTATAAGCTCTAGTCTAATTCCTGAAAAATTTCTGCAACAGAAAGAAGAATCAGAAGCAAGCAGTGGATGCTGGCAGGTTTATTTTGGATGAGAAAAATGGGCAATTAGCCCAACAACACATGCAACCTCTGTGAATCTAGTATGAGAAAACTCTAATGCCTCAGAAGCAGAAGACTGTACCTCAAGCGTGATCTTCAGCACCTCTCTATTTATTTTTCTCAGCTCTGAAGCCCTTTCTGCAGTCATCTTCCTTCTTTTCATTCCATGAACTAGAGAACGTTTCTGAAAGCCTGCCCTGCTTTCCTGACCCAGGCTGGGTGCATGCCAATCTGCTTCCCAACGTTTCTGCTGACACTCATGCCATTACCATGACATGGTCTTCCCAAGTTATCATGTGTTTTCTCTGGTGCTATGGGAAGAGATGAGAAAAAGCAGGCTGTTTGAGAACAAAGCAGTACCAAATCACACTAAGTTTTAACAACCTGTCTCAAACTAGTAAGAATCTAAAATAACCTCCCTAATGCAATGTGACATAGATCACAGAATCATCAAATCACCAAGGCTGGAAAAGGCATCCAAGATCATCCAGTTCAACCATCCACTACCACCACTATTTCCTCATTAAACCATGTCTCTTAATACAACATCTAAGCATCCCTTGAACCCTCCAGAGACGGTGACTCCACCACCTTTCTGGCAGCCTGTCCCAGTGCCTGAGCACTCTTTTAGAGAAGTTTTTCCTAATATCCAACCTGAATCTCCCCTGGTGCAACTTGAGGCCATTCCCTTTAGCCCTACTGTTAGTTACCTGAGGGAAGAGGCTGACCCCCACCTCACCACAACCTCCTTTTAGATAGTTGTAGAGTTCTCCAGACAAAACAATCTCAGTTCCCTCAGCCACTCCCCAGAAGACTTGTTCTTCAGACCCCATGCTGGCTTCATTGCCCTTTCCTGGACATGCTTCAGACCCTCAGTGTCTTTCTTATACTGAGGGGCTGAAAACTGAACACAGTACTCAAGTTGTGTCCTCTCCAGTGCTGAGTGTAGAGGGATGATCCAGTGCTGGGTGTAGAGGGATTTTGGATGAGGAGCTGCAAGATCTGGTTTAGTAGCTTGTGCTAGCAGTGGTAACGTGGAGATGGTTGGACTAGATGATCTTATAGGTTGTGATTCTATGATTCTATGATCACTTCCTTACTCCTGCTGGCAAAACTATTTCTGATACCAGCCAGGATGTCACTGGCTCTCTTGGGCACCTGGGCATGCTAATGACTCATGTTCAGCTGAGCATTCACCAACATCCCCCAGGTCTGTTTCATCTACACAGTCTTCCAGCCACTTTACCCCAAGCTTGTAGTATTGCTTGAAGTTATTATGGCCAAAGTGCAAAAGCTGGCACTCCATCTTGTTGAAGTTCATGTCATTTGCCTCAGCCCAGTGGTCCAGCTTGTCCAGATCCTTCTGTAGGACCTTGCTACTCCCAGGCAGATGGACACTTCCACCCAGCTCGGTGTCATCTGAACGTGAATATAATGTGTTCTGCAATCCCCACACTCTGGACAACTGAAATGCAAGTTTTTCACACTAGCCTCAAAAAATCTGTTTTCCAACAAAGTATGTTAGAGGGGAGATGCTTTTGCCTCTCACTTACCTGCTGATCTTTTAATTTCCACTTTGTTGATTCCTCGTATATGCCTCTCCTGTATTATAGGCCACACAAGCACCAGATGACTGTGCAGATTTCTTTATGTGGAGAAACGATCATGAGTCCCAAGCCTTATTCTTTGTCCATCGTTTCTACTCACGGACCAACAGCTTTGTGAGAATTGAGCCAGTGAAGGAGAAACTAAGCTGTGGCCAGCAGAGAATGGTTAATATTCACTATATCTTGAATAGAAAGGGCTACAGAAATGCCACCCACACAGACTTCTACTATGTGGTACGTACTACCTCAGTTCCCAAAACATATATTTTCTTCCACCTTTTCTTGAACACTAAATAAGACAGAAATGTTCAGATCAGCCTGTGACTATGGATCACAGCTTGATTCAAGCCCCTCAGAATACCACTCAATATCAGTGATTTGTGGGAGAAGGGAGGAGGTGCTTTTGATTCCGTCCTGTGATTTTTTCTATTCCTAGGTGATGGCAAAAGGAAAATTTGTTCTCAGTGGCCAAAAGCAAGTAAGAATCACTCATGGTAAGTTCTGGACTGTATCAATACTGGTACTTCAGTGCATCATTCCTATCACCAGAACATTAGTAACTTATATAAGATGAGATGAAAGCAGAGAACTGTTGCTAAATAGGGTATTAATTCTTAAACGTCTTTCACCACTCACATTATTATTTGCTTTTGATGCAGCTCCTAAACATAATCAAATTTATCTTTTGAGTTGAGAGGTTGCGACTGAATAGGAGGAATGTAATCATTTTTGGTATTATTTCTTATTTATTTTAAAGAGTATTTAAGGTTTCAGATGCTCTGTGACATCCAAATCTTCACCAATCAGAAGACCAAAAATTTTTAAATAGTGGGTGCCTCATTTGACAGAGCAATTAGATGCTTGGAATTCACGGAGCTTTAGAAGATTCTGAATACCATGATTCAGCAAACTGAATTCCATTTTTTCATTTAAAAAATGTATTTTCTTGCAGAACCAGGTGTTCAGTAAGTGACTTAAGTAAGTCTCACTCTACATATAGGACTTATTTAGTATTGGCCATCTTTGGTCTTTCTCCAGGTATCTGCATGTCATGTGCTTGGGAGGGGCATCTATTCATCAAAAGGCAGCCTTGTTATACAATTTTTCCTTCATTAAAATATCTTGAGGTTGTGTGGTTTCTCCATATATCTGTGGCTAACCAATAGCAAGATGTGTGATAGAGTGTGACTAAGGAAGCTTAGTTTCCTGTCTCTGCTCTAGTAATTGTCATCTGTATTGACACGAACTTCATAATTCCCAGTGTTAAGAGAACATTGTCTTAGCTTAGGTAATTGGTTTATCTAATCTGGTGTAGAAGGTTCTAGGTTTGAGCTCCAAAGGCAAAGTATTGCTCTTCTTGCAGTAATCAGATTACAGATTTTTCTGTCCAACTTCTGCTCAGCTTAGCTCCCTCTCTGCAAAACACCCTGCTCTCAGCATTGTCCAGTTTGCATCTGGTACCTTGCTGATGGGAGTTCTTCCTCAGCCACTGAGAAATTAATCTCCCAGTAGCCAGCATCCCTTTTGTAATGGTGCAGATAGATTATGAACAAATATGTTATCCTTCCACCAAAGCTGAAGTTTATCTAATCTCTTTTGTTGGCTTTTCCTCCCCTGTTCCATGTACCTTCCACAGCTTCCTGGGGCACTTTTGCTATTACACTGGCTGTTACTGAGAAGCTTGCTCCCAGCGCCAGATTGTTGCTCTATACAGTCCATCCTAATGGAGAGATAGTGGCTGACAGCTCTTGGATACACAGTGATATATGCTTCAAGAACAAGGTGAAAATCTTTGTTTTATTATCAAGGGCTATATCTGCTAGAATCATAGAATCGTAGAATCACTCAGGTTGGAAAAGACCTTAAAGATCATCAAGTCCAACCACGACCTAACCATACTACCCTAACTCTAATGACCCTCTGCTGAATCATGTCCCTGAGCACCACATCCAAATGGTTTTTAAACACATTTAGGGACGGTGACTCAATCACCTCCCTGGGGAGCCTATTCCAGTGCTTAATAACCCTTTCTGTAAAGAAGTTTTTCCTGATATCCAACCTAAACTTACCCTGGTGCAATTTCAGGCCATTTTCCCTTGTCCTGTTACCAGAGAGAAGAGACCAACCCTACTCCCACTGTAAGCACCTTTCAGACATTGGAAGAGAGCAATAAGGTCTCCCCCAAGTCTTCTTTTCACCAGATTAAGCAGCCCCAGTTCTTTCAGTTTCTCCTCTTAGGGCATATTATCCAAACCCTTCACAAGCCTTGTTGCCCTTCTTTGGACCTGCTCCAGCACCTCAATGTCCTTCCTAGTTTTCTTTTTGTTTTTTTGCTGAGTGAAAAGATAGGAAATTACTTCATCACAAGCACTGCACTCAGTTTGGCGTTTAGGAATGGAAAAGATACAGGCATGCCTGATAACACAAGAATCTATCCTTGGCATTCATGCATATACTCAAACTCATGCTAAGCTGTCAGTGGAGTGGGGGGAAAATGATTAGGGGATTATGTGATTATGAATTTTTGTAGAAACAGGGATTCAGAAGGACTGTTTAGCAGCAGGAGCTTTGCCCAATAGAGAATAGCATTAATATCAGTGAAAGGTGAGATTTAGATGTATCTGCCAAGCTAATTCTCCTAATTTCTATTTTATTGTTTTCAATTTACTCATTTACAGCTCCAGTTTGAGTTCTCTGAGAAGCAGGCTCTCCCAGGCTCTAAAATCAACATCCACCTTGAAGCTGCTGCCAACTCCTATTGTGCCTTGCGAGCTGTAGATCAGAGTGTCTTCCTTCTTCAGCCTGAGCGAGAGTTATCTGCTGAGAGTGTAAGCCACATGCCCAGTGCTGTGTTCTTTCAATCTAGGGACACCCAGAATGACAGTTCCTATGCCCACCTAATATCTCTTCTGCTGGCTATGTTTTTCTTTTTTCCAGGTGAACAGACATTTCAGTGATTGAAAAAAAGAAATAGCAGCTTTATACTTCAAAGCTGATGGTGAAATATTTACTTTTAGAAAGCATAGCAGTGTTAAACAGAGTATGACTGTCAAATTTTGACAGCATCTGAGAGTGGCTCAAATAGGCCTTTGATGCAGACAAAAGCTGCATATATCAGCTAGTAATTTGTCACTCAAATCTGCATAACTCAGCAGTACCTCTTCATGCTCTTTGTTCAAGTTCACCCTAAAAAGCCATCACAACTCAGAAAAAGAGGGATAGAGTCTAGACCTTCTTGCATAACATCAGCCAAATTGCTTATTCATCTGTGTAGGCATCGCTAGGTAAACCCATCATACTATATGGGGCTGTTCACATGCTACCATAACTACTGAAATACAAATGAGAAAGGAGCATAGGAAGAAACAAATCCATGTGATTAAAACTATATATACATATATATACTATATATATGTAGTGCTTCTGAAAAAAAAAACAAAAAAACAAAAAAAAACAATAAGCAGATACCCTGCTTACTTCATGCTTTAAGAGAGGTAGTTTTGTCTTGAAGCAGGAAAGTGGATATGTGCTGCACAATGAGGATGACAGAAGAAGCTGCACTGCAAACCCAGTCACATACTAGTTTTCAGTGAACTTTCTCCTTTCTCACTCTACAGCCATGAAAGATTTTCATGGTGTGACAGAATTTTGCACCTCCCTAGGACCTTTCCTTGTTTTTACATCAGTTGTTCTCACCTCCCAGGTGTACTACCGGCTTCATTTGAGTGATTTGTATGGCTATTATTACAATGGACTCAACCTGCAAGACGACCAGCCAGAGGAATGTACCCCAGTCAAAACCACTTTTTTTGATGGCTTGTACTATGAACCTGTCAATGTCAGCCATGATGGTGATGTTTACAGGATTTTCAGGGTATGTGTTCTGTTTTTTTTTTTTCCAAATGTTCCAGAAGAATTCATGCACACTAGCATTAAGTTTTCTAAGGTGTGGTTTTGATCCCTCAACTGCCCTCACTCTTGAGTCATTCAATTTCTACAATCTGATATCCACTTCTTACTCAGGAAGAATGAGAATCACTACTTGATATATTCATTGGAATCCAGTCCATACTTCAGTAGATTATTCTTAAGCAGGACCATGAACTTTCTTCACAACCTCAGGCATTCCTAATAAAGATCTGAGTATATTATGCAGACCGTTGCTTTCCTGATACACTTTTCTCCACTCTCTCTCATCCTATGTCTTTGTCACTTACCCTGTCCAGTTGCAAAAGACCTAACATGAGCACCACCACTACTACTTGGGACAGAACAACAGTTGTCACTACCTGCATGTAGCAGAAGAATTACTTGTGACATTTGGAATTGAAAGGCTGGAATGTGAGAAGTGAGGAGAGAGATGAGTGATGTTAACTTGGATGGGAAACGTGGCACATATTGGTAGCTACTGCGTGCACCAAGTGACATGATCGATTCTTTTACATGCAGGAGATGGGCCTGAAGGTTTTCACCAACTCTACGCTACGGAAGCCAGTTCTGTGCAATGAAGACAGGTTGGATTGGGAAGATAATCGTATCTATTTGGAACATGATGCCAGTGGTGGCAGTGCCTTTGGCAAAGGTAAAAGAATCAGAAAATCATGAAATCATAGAATGCCTTGGGTTGGAAGGGACCTTAAGGATCATCAAGTTTCCCGCAGACAGGCAGGGGCAGCAGCCTCCAGATCTGGTACTAGACTAGATTGCCCAGGACCCCATCCAATGTGGTCTTGAACACCTCCAAGGATAAAGCACCTGCAGCCTCTCTGGGCAGCCTGTTCCAGCACCTCATCACTTTCTCTGTAAAGAACTTCCCCCTGACATCCAATCTAAACCTTCCTTTTCTGAGCTTAAAACCATTCCCCATCATCCTATCTTTTCCACTCTTACAAAAAGTTGATTCCCTTCCTTTTTATAATCCCCTTTTAGATCTGGAAGGCTGCAATGAGGTCTCCTCACAGCATTCTCTTCTCCGGTCTGAATGAGCCCAGATCCCTCAGCCTGTCTTCGTAGGGGAGGCACTCCAGCCCTCTGATCATCTTCATGGCCCTCCTCTGGACCTTCTTCAATAGCTCCATGTCTTTCCTGCATTGGGGTCCCAGACCTGGATGCAGTACTCCAGATGGGAGTTCTCATGAGGGCAGAGTAGACAATCACCTCCCTGTCCACCCCTCTTCTAATGGAAATTAAAAAAAAAAAAAGGACAACAAATAATAGACAAACACAGAGAAACAACTTCCTTCCATCTTTCTCAGGCTCAGCTTTTATTCAGTATCTCCTTTCTCTTTAGTAATATTAACTTCTCTTGTTTCTTCCAAGGTTAAATGCATTCCTTCCTAATCTCTTTTATTAGGATCTGGAAAAACAGGCTATTGAGATTAGTACTCGTTTATTTTTGACATCTCTACTTTTTACTCATTTTCCTTTGCTGCTTTACATTCCTTAATTGTTTCCTCTTCAACAACATGGGCAACAGTCCTTTAGGGCCCTCCTCACTCCAGTGTGGGCTCCTCTATGGCCCACTGTCCTTTCTGGTGCATCCCTGCCCTGGTGTGATCTTCACAGGCCACACATTGTGGTGTCCCCACTCTGGCACAGACTTCTCAATCCACAGTCCCTTTAGGGTCGTTCCTGTCCACTTGTGGTATCCTCCATACTCCAAGGTCTCTCAGGGGTATTTTCTCTCTCATGGAGTCTCTCCTTTCAGAAACATCTCTTTATGTGTCTTCATTTCTCCTCCCTCTTTCTCACAATCACATTCTTGAATACTTCCTCAGGTGTCTCCTTGACACATAGCTGCTGTCCTTCCTTAAACACACTTGAGTTGCAGCACCATGAGGCCTTCCAACCTGCAAGAGCATGTTGCTGGCTCAACATTCAGTTATTCATTCACCAGGACGCCCAGGTCCTTACCCGGGGAGCTACTTCCCAGGAGTTCTTCTAGCTTGTATATGTATCTGGAATTACTTTACTAAAGTGCAAAGCCTTGCACTTTGCTATGTTAAACTTAACTAGGCTCACGTAGGCCAAACATTTGAGTTTGTTAAGGTCCTTCTGGATGTCATCTCTCCTTTCTAATGTGTCAACTGCACCACTCAGCTTGGTGTCATCAGCAAATTCGCTGAAGGTGCACTCAAGCCCATCATCGATGTCATTGATGAAGATGTTGAAGGTCCCAAAACAGAAGGTTCATGCTGCATCTCCATTTCCAGTATGTCTGGTCTTCAAAACTTGTGCATACAGGAAATAACAGACAGCATGTTAAGATTTTAGGGAACAGATCTCTGTCTCATGTTCTGCCTCTAGTAATCTTTTGCTGACAGTCCTCACAATTGGAATCAGTTCTTGCTCTCTTAGGTATAGGATGCATATGGAGAAGAGAGAGAATTAATTCCATAAACTGGTATCAGCTTTTTAGTGTTTTCTACTTAAAAACTTTTGTGCAACTCACAATTCAATCATACATTTTAAGTGAAATACCAGTGAAAAAATATTATGCAAATTAATGATTTTAAGAACTCACACAGCACCTAACATACTTAGCACATAGTCTTGAAAGCACTTTATAAGTTAGCAAGATTTAAGATAATGTTCCTCCAAGTTAGATTTTATCAACAAAATAACTAACATTAACAGACATTTTTATGGTAATTTCCATGATATAGCAAACAAGCCTGAAGAAATCTGGGGCATCTTTATGCTAAATTGATTGTTTGACATCACAACTGATGCCATAAAATCATGGAACTAAGTCCTAGGTTCCTAGTCTTGGTCTGTGTATAACCAATGAATAGACAGGTGTTGTAATTAAGAAATATACAAGAGAGCCTGACTAAGCAGTTCATTACACCAAAAAGAATAGATAAAGGGCTTACCCTCATCCTGGGCTCACTAGAAAACTCCAAAATGAGGGATCTCTAGAAAGAAATCCTTCCCTAGTGGTAGTCAGCTCTTAAATGGGGTCTAGCCAAGCTCCACCCCTTCTGGCAGCACAGGTGAATTCCTTCACCTGTGCTCCTGTGGCTGACTCATTGCTCATCTCAGGTGATCAATCAGAGGTTCAGGCTGTGATTCAGCAGTTCCCATACAGTCCTGCTGTTTAGCTTTCCAATGCAATGAAAATTCAGCTCCAGTTTATTTGTCTGGACAGGGTAAAATTATTGAGTCATAAGAGGGAATTTTTAAAGCAATATATACTCTGGTAACAATTCTGGCCTCTGTTGTCCATTTGCAAATTGAAGAGATGTAGTGATAGAGGAGAAGTATAAAATGCCTTACTAATTAGGTGATGTGCCTTTCACTGTGAAAAAAAAAAAGGTGAATTGTATTGTGAAATGCCTCTCTTCCCATGGGAAGAGAGAATAGATAATACATTTTTTTCTTTATTCTCATAATCTTTCCTAGAATTTTCAAAGATTACTGCTGCTGGTGTTATTAACACTGTTCGGAAATACTTCCCTGAGACCTGGATTTGGGATCTGGTTCGCACAGAGTGAGTGTTTACACCTTCACTTCTTACGTGGATTTTTGAGTTGTTGCTGAGATGAATGCTGGAGGATAGAACATGAATCCAAATGTATTGGTTCTAATCTGCATGTTTGGACATCGTGGCATTTAAACAAATGTTATTTCTAAATTTAAAAAGCCAAGTATTCTTCCAAGTGCTTTTTAACACGTAGTTCACCAACACCTTCATCTTTACCTCCAATTTCATAATTTCTTTTTAAATACAGAGAAGAATCCTACAGAAACTGAGGTGAAAACTCTGAAATATTAACTCAGTCATGGGCCTATTCCGTAATTTGCTCTGAAAATTCCAAAGATCATTTCTCATTCAGATTTTCTTGTTTTGCTCAGTTCCACTGGAGAGGCTAATATCTTCTACACCATCCCTGATACCATCACAGAATGGAAAGCCAGTGCTTTCTGTTTGCAGGATGATGCTGGGTTTGGCATCTCCTCACCTGTTTCACTGACAGCATTTCAACCATTCTTTGTGGATCTTGCCTTGCCATACTCTGTCATTCGAGGGGAAAGAATTAATTTAATAGCCAACATCTTCAACTACCTTGACAAGTGCATCCAGGTACGTAAAATTCCCTTTCAAAAATTATGCTTTGCCTCTTCCCCAGAGTTCCCAGCAATGTTTATCTGCCATGCATATTGCATTAAAAATGTAGAAACAAGTACTCTGCTGATGCAGTACTCTCTCACCATCTCTGACAGGATCCTTTCCTGCATCATTAGGATAGTGTGGCCAATGATCACTATGACTGGTACAAAGAAGATAAGGACCTGCTTCTTATCCCTACGTAGTTCAGTTATTTTTGCTCCTGAAAGAGAAATTTGAACAGAGCGTATGGGTATTGTGATCTCCCAAATAATATGTACCGAGTATGTAGCATATAGCAGAAAATCATAAGAAGATATGACTGATAAAATGAGCACAGACATCTTGGCATACTTCTTTCAAATGCAGCCAGTAACAGAAGGTACTAATTAGATAGGTTTGCTATTTCCTCAAACAAATGTCCCTTTCTTATTTCCAGGTACCATCTTACAGAATCAGATGACATGGTTTCACCAGAAAGTGACATTTTCCTGTGCCCTGAAGCCTAAATTCAGGGGGAGCCTACTTCGTTTGTAATTTTTCTCTTTCTCTCTGCATCTCAGATCAGTGCCATACTGGCAGAGTCAAGCGACTACAAGGTGGAAGTCCTCTCACCAGAAGTAAACACAGCAAGGGTGTGTGCCAATGAAAGAAAAACCTATATTTGGGCTGCTAGCCTCCTCAGTCTTGGTAATTTTGTCTTTTGGTCACCCTAATTCATCTCAATTTTATCTTTCAACTTTTGTCATTTCACTCTTTAATGAAGGATCAATAATCCACACACAAGCATTTCTGGACAACTCCACTAGTTACTACATAAATCTAGTATTGGACTTTTGCTAAAGTTCCCCTATGCATGAATATATGCACTGAATTAGTAGCTATTTGTTCTGGTGTTCTATCTCTTCTAATTTCAGTAGTTTATTTCTTGTCTATTTTAGGAAGAATTGTTCACTTGCTTTCTTATGCATGGAATACTGTCAGGACTTCATGAGGCTATAATAATTCAGTTGACAGTCTTATATCAAATCAATTCTATTCAGTAAGAATGAATGAGTGTAGAGGACATTGCTCCTCCCCAGTTTAACAGTTGTGTTAATTTACACTGTCTTTGAGTCAGCATTGTCTTCAAAAGAAGCATTTACAGCAGCTTGCGTGTGATAGTGCATCAAAAGTTGAAGTATAAAAAAACTTTATTTAGAAAAATTCTTCTGAAAATGAACAACAGATAAGCCTTTTCTTTAAAATGTTTCTAAATCAGCGTCACTGATTTCCTTCAAACTCAGTGGAAAATTTATAGTAAGACAAGAAGTGGATAAGCAGTGAAATACTGCTACAAAGCTGAAAAAAAAAAGCTGCTGTCTCTCCTAGCTATTTTGTCCGAAGTGGAAAACTCCTTTGGATCTCCTATTTGCAATGACTTCAGGGGTAAAATGAGCAATGCCTGTCAAGCTGCTCACTTTAGAGTTGTTCCATGCCATATGACATCATGCAGGAGTACTGAAGGTGATGGGAATTCATCTCTTTCTCCCACTGCTTGGGGGACTAGCTGGGCATCTATCAGATGGTGGTGAGAAACTGCTTGTACACTACTTGCTGCATACATTTATACATATATATATATATTATATAGGGTATATAATATATAGTATAGTGTGTGTGTATATATATATAGTCATAACTATTTTCCTTCTCCTTTTCTCTATCTTAGTAAATAGTTTTATCTCAACCCATGAGTTCTACTTTGTTCTTTTGATTCTCTCCCCCCATCCCACTGGGAAGGGGAGGAGTGAGCAAATGACCATGTGGTGCTGAGCCTCTAGGCAACTGTTCCTTGCCATCCTTGGAGAGATGTGGAGCTTTGACTAAATTTGTTTCTACTGAGCTGCCTTTAGAGAGATACATGTGGTCAACAAACCACAAGACTAGGAGGAGGCAGTGAAAGCCAGAGGTAACTATAGACACAGAAACTAACTTTTTTTTCTTGGACTGGTGGTTGGCTCTTCAGGTGAGGTGAAATTCACAATTACTGCTGAAGCCAAACTGAATACTAAAGCTGCCGAAAATAGCACACCAGCAGAAGAGGAGACAATTCGCACAGACACCCTGACTCAAATGCTGCTTGTTGAGGTACAATACAAGATTTTCATGTACTTTCTGTTTTTTTGGAAATTCAGTTCTGTTACCTATGATCTGGAAGATATTAGCTTGATGTTAAGAGACAAGCAAGCTGACACAGATGGAGCTGTGTACAGTAGGCTTCTCTATATGAAACTGAGAGTGGAATTCAGAACAATTTGGTATCCACTGTTCTTTCTAGAACAAAGAGCATAAATGCTGTGACACTCTCTGGATGTCAGCAGAACTGTATTTAGAGGGGAAGAGATAACATTCCTTATCTACATGTGCCTTTTGCCTGTAACTGTAATACTGGGGAAAAGAGGGCAGATATGAAAGGAATGAGATTTGTCTTAAACATCCTAAAGTAGAAAAGACACAATTCTCCCCAAGTCCTCCTCAGAGGCTGGAACTGCCTATTATATAAATGCTTTCTAAGAAAGATAGTGCTCTGCACAGGCTGTAATGTAATAATGAAGTAGGACATGGACGAAGAGATATTCTAATGGAGATAAGGCAGAACTGGGTACAGGGTACAGGGATACACCCTCTGGATAGCCACATCTATGTAATATCTTACACTATTGAATTGTTTCTGGTTTCATGGTGATGTTTTTTTAATTCTCCCTGACCACCTGTCTGCAATCAAACAGCCTGAAGGTGTTAAAAAAGAATTGACTCAGAGCTCCCTCATCTGTACAAAAGGTAAGGCAAGTTTATTCACTGAATCCAAGAAATTGTGAAAATAATTCACTGCTTTGTTGTTTTTGTCCTATGAAATCGGAGACCCTTCCAGAGGAGGAAGAATGGTCTCAGGGTTGAGGAGATGGCTACAGCTCAGGATTTTAAGAGATATCTCAGACGCATTGGACATGGACTCTTCAGCAGTCTCTTTACCAAAACAGCAAATAGTAATTCCAACTGTAGTCATGCGTAGAAAGTAAAAGCTTCCAGAAAAATGATATTTTCAGCAATTTCTGTTGTGTTTTCTTGTTAGGCACAACAATTTCTGAACCAGTGCTTCTCAGCCTGCCAAGAAATGTAGTGCAGGGATCAGCCAGAGTTTATTTCTCTGTCATTGGTAAGTGTAACACCTAGACTGAAATTAAAAGTGAAGTACTTTTTTCCTCCTGTGTGGCTTCCAGTGCTATCATGTATACCTATGCAAAACTAAAATAAACTTGAGGAGAGACTTCACCTTGATTTTAAACAAATGTTTCCTACTTTCTGAAATGAACAACTATCTTTCTTTGCCAAAATTCTCTTCGATTGTATCAAAAAAAGATAGAACAAAACAGTCAAATTATTTCCATTTATATTTCATTTCAGATGATATTGCCTTAGCTATCCTGTTCTTTGTAGTAAAACTGAAAAGTAAGCAAAAGCAGACTTCTTGAAAAAAAAATCACATTGTTTTGATTTTTTGGATAGAAGACTTCAAAAATATGCTGTCTGCATAATTCAAATAATGCTTTTGCATAATGAAAAACATTTGTCTGACCTACTAATCTTAAACTCATTAAGAATAAAAGTTCTCCTTAATGAAAAGTTTATGAGATTCTGAACACAGTCTGCTTTCTAAAAATAGTTGTTTTCCATGCCAGAGACAGTGTGGAACATACTGGTACTGTGGAATACAGCATACGTAGCCCATCAGCAACATATGATCAACTGTCATTTTCACATATGCACACCAAAAAGGAAGCACACTGGAAAGGCTAGGGAATACTAACTCAGAGGGGTTGATAGCTGATTCTCAGAAATCATTCCAGTCAGTATCAGTGCTTGGTTCCTTCTCAAATTTACAGTTTCTCAGGTGCCCAGCATCAAAATCAAAAATCATAATATTCTTTGACTACTGTGATTATTATGGACTCAAAGTCAATGGAGTAATGTAACATAAAGCAATGTATAAAGATGTGTAATAAAAAATATGTTTGACCTAACCCTTTAATCTTTAATTCTCAGGAGACATTTTGGGTACAGCCTTAAGGAACATGGAAAACCTCCTCCATATGCCTTATGGCTGTGGAGAACAGAACATGGCCTTGTTCACACCCAACATCTATGTCCTGGATTATCTGAATAAGACTGGGCAGCTGACTGAAGAGATTAAAGTCAAGAGTATTTGGTATTTAACCACAGGTGACAGCCTTTCACATTCTTTCATCTAGTATTGTGATTAAACTTTAGAACTCTAATTGATGAACACAGATCTTTGAATTCTAGCACCACATGCACTAGACTTTGAGGAGATCAGCTGCAGAGCAGAGAGTTGCATCGGGGTCCTCTCCCTGCAAGGCAAAACCACGTTTAAAACTGCAAAATCAGAAGCGTGGTGGCTGTAACAAGAAGCAGCTCTGAGACAACATGGACAGAACCAGGAGGAACAGCAGCACTATAAAAGTCAGGGCAACCTCCACTTCAGCAAAGACTTCGTGTAGAGACTGGTTTCAGAGTGCAGGCTTGCGCCGGAGGCCCTTTCCCAGTGAGGCAAAACCACAGTGAAAACTGCTAACTCAAGAACCTTAGAGCATCTGAGGAGAGGCAGCTATAATACAGCGTGGATGGGGCCAGGAGAAACGGCGGAACCTGCCCACGTATACAAAGGCAGCCCCTAGGAGCACTAGTGACTAGGAGCAGGCAAATAGGGTATGGTGCAGCAATAGGGAATGTTGTGGCACTGTACAAGGCAGTTTGCTCAGGAAGAGTGACTAGACAGAGCCAGCACCCTGTGGGCTAGAAAGGTAAATTCAGTAGGTGATTATTGCCCTCTAGATACAGGGCAATCCTGTGATTGGAGTACAGGATTAGCGTCCCCCAAGAATAGAGACCCTAGTTAAGGTATCCACCCGATGGAAAGCCAGGGCATTAGCACCCATCAGGAAAGATGCCAAAACTCAGGTTGATCTCTAAGGCAAGCATATAGTCATCCAGGCCTCCAGCTGCATGGAGTGCCTGAGCCTTTCTCTGACATCCTTTGGCAGCCATGAAAACAGCTGTGTGAGGTGAGAACAGCTGTGTGAGGTGTGAGCGGGTGGATAATTTGTTCAGCTTAGTGGAGAGTTTACGAGATGAAACACATAGGTTAAAAAGTGTCATGGGGACCAAGAGGACTGAGCAGAGGAACTACACTGCCCTTGCAAAAGCAGGTCTACAACAGAAGAAAGCAGAAGATCCAAGGAAGACTGTATCCTATCACTGCAAGGCTGAAGGAAAGAACTCAAAAGAAAGGAAAGGAAAGCTGGAGGAAAGTCTGTTCTCAGAACTGCAGAACTCCTCCTCACCCACTCTAGCTCCCCAAGTGCTTCTGTGTAACAGTACAAGGCTCTGGATACAGAATGCCTGTCTCTTGGTTGATAACAGCCCATTTACACTGGAGGAATCAGTGAAATCAGAACAAGAAAAGCCTTCCACCACTATCAAGTCTACATCTTCAAAGAAGAAGAGAGGGTTATTAGTTACAGACAGCTCTTCCCTGCAGGGAACTGAATGCCCAATACACTGGGCAGATCTCCTTCTTAGAGAAGTCTCTATGGGGCTCAGGAAAAGGATATCATGAGATAATTACCTAGCCTGATATGGCCAACATTACTGCTTTTCCTCTTGGAAAGTGATGTAACAGCTACATGCAGTTCAAAGGCCGTCAAAAGGGACTTCAGGACTTTGGAACATCAGTCGAAGGAACTGAGGGCACAGATAATCTTCTGTTCGGGGTAAGGAAAAAAGAAATTGAAAGATCCTATTGATAAACAGCTGTCTTTGTGACTGCTTCTGCTAGAACTTTGGGTTTTTTGAAAGTGGAGTGGCCTATATGGCACCAGGCTTGTAGGAGCCAGATGGGATTATCCTTTCTGAAAGGGGGAAGATGGTTCTTGGGAGAAAGCTGTCAGGGTTCATTCTCAGGGGGAGGGGGGCTCTTATGAGCCTGCCCATAAGTTGTGGGACAGCATAGTTAGGTTAGAGGAACAGGGTGCTAGAGGGGGCCAGCAACCTGCTGCACACTTGAGACCTTGTGGTGATGAAGGCAAGAGGAAGACTCAAGGTAAGTAATTCAAAGGAATTAAGGACTTATCCTCAAAGAAGGTGACAAGACTGGCTGCCCAGCTGATATGCCTGTACACCGATGCAAGAATGGTTACAGCTACATCAACTAGAAAAGGAGAGTCCAAGAGATACAGGACAGCTTAGTGACAATGAACAGGGAGAAAGTTGAGGCAATTGACAATTTTCCTCAGTCTTCACTAATGATAGATCTTTGCGCAACCCTTGCGTAGATGAGTCAAAAGGTGGGGACTTGGAGAGCAATGCTCCTCCTGCTGTAAGTGAAAATCAGGTTCATAACACCCAAGAAACCTGAACACCCATATATTTATGGATCCCAGTGAGATGTGTCCCAGAGTCCTGAGGGAATTGGCTGACATAGTTGCCAGGCCTCTCTCCACGATATTTGAAGAGTCGTGGTGGTCAGGTGAAATCCCTGATGGCCCAAAAAAAAAAAAAGAAAAAAAGAAAAAAAAGATGTTGCACCCATTTTTGAGAAGGGTAGAAAGGTTGACCCAGGAAACTACTGACTTTTGTACCAGGGAAGATCTTCTTGGGAGCTATGCTAAGGCACGTGGAAGAGAGGGAGATGATACAAGAAAACCAGCATGACTTCACCAAGAACAAGTCCTCATTGACCATCTTAGTAGTCTTCTATGATAGAGTACATCAGTGGAAAAAGGAAGAGCCTCTTATATTATCTATTGGGACTTCAGTATGGCCTTTGTCACATGGATGGGATGGATGGACCATTCAATGGATGAGGAACCAGCTGCAAGATTGTACCCAGAGGAGAGTGGTCAATGAATCAATATCTGGATAGACTTTAGTATCTTCATCAACTATATTGATAGTGGGATTGAGAGCGCCATCAGCAAGTTTGCCAGTGACACCAAAGCTGTGTGGTACAATTGATATGCCTGGAGGACGGGATGCCATCCAGTGAGACCTAGACATGCTCGAGCAGTGGGCTCAGGAGAACCTAATGAGATTCTAAAGATTCAAGTGCAAAGTGTTGAACCTGGCTTACTGCAAACTTCACTATTAATACAAGCTGGGGGACAAAAGGATTGAGCACAGCACTGCAGAAAAGGACTTTGGGCTTCTGATGGATTGCAAGCTGGACATCAGCCAAAGAGAAGGCTTCAGAGAGACTAGATAGAAGCCTTTCATTATCTAAAGGAGGCTATAAGAAAGAAAAGGGCAGATTCTTGGGAGCCTTCAAGGGAAATAGTTTCAAACTAGAAGAGGAGAGGTTTAGATTGGATATAAGGAAAAGGGTTTTTTGTTTTTTTTTTTTCACAATAAGAGTAGTGAGCCACTGGAACAGGTTGCCCAGAAAGATGGTGGGTGCCCTGTCTTTGGAGGCATTCAAGGTTAGGCTGGATGCGGCTCTGAGAAACCTGTCCCTGTTCCCTGCAGGGCCACTGGACTAGATGTTATTTAAGTGTCCCTTTCTGTGTCTTCAATTCTGTGATTCCATGTATTGCACAGAAGCTTGTGATGGCAGCACGCTAAAGAAGCATTTTGTACTAACAGGAGCATAAGTGGCTAGAATCTTAGCGTTAAAACACAGTGTGCTTCAGTTGAATAAAGACCATAACTAGTTCTTATCTGTAATAAGAAAACATCTTTATTGTATTTTCAGGGTACCAGAAACAGCTGTCATACAAACACCAGGATGGGTCCTACAGCTCCTTTGGGACACGAGACAAGGAAGGAAATGTATGGTAAATGATGACACTTTCTATTTCCCTAGCTCAGAATCTTTAGGCTTTGAAATGTTTCAGGTGATTCTTATTTTTAATGGACTAAATGGATATAATTCAGTTAATTTGGATCTCCCACTAAGAGAGATGTGAGTAAAACTGCAGAGGTTGCAACAGAATGATAATAAGGAGGTCAGGGTCTGGAGCACAGTTCAAGGAGAGACTGAAAGAACTAAATTTGTTCAGCCCATAGAGTAGGAGGCTAATGGATATCTAGATATAGACTTCTACCACCTAGATCAGGACTGTAGAAAAAACAGTCATACCCTTGTCAGAGGTGCACAGAGTAAGGAAAACAATTTTTCTGTATGCAAGTTGCAACAGGGAAAGCTGGATAGAATGAAAACAAATCTTGCCTAGAAGAAGGGTATAGCATTTAAGCAGGTGCCCAGAGAGGGCGTGGAATCCTCAATGTCTGCAGATTTTCACCATGTGGCAGGACAAGACACTGAGCAATCTGACCGAGCTTTGATGTTGATCCTAGTTTAAGCAGGTGATGGGACTGGAGACTTCTAGAAGTCCCTTCTCACCCAGTTTATTTCATAGCTGTGTTGGTTAAAGTAAGAAATTACTAACATCAGTCATCAAGCTGCGTCTATGCTTTACTCCAGCTTTGAAAGAAAGGTTTCAGCACAGTAATTGGAGAAATCTCAGGTCAGTTTGTAATACCAGAATTTTAACTATTTATTTAAAATGTACAAAACACTTGTTTCTTTTACCACAGGCATTATGGATTTCATTCTATGTCCATTTCTATTCATATCCAGTTACTGGTATACCTTCTCTTAATCTTGTTCACACTTTATGTGCTTTCTGGTTCTGGCTCACCTGTAGGCTTACTGCCTTTGTATACAAGTCATTTGCACAAGCAAGACGGTACATCTACATTGATGAAAACGTCCAATCTCAAACTCTGATTTGGCTGGCAAGAAAGCAGAAGTCAGATGGCTGCTTTGAAAATGCTGAGTCACACTTCAACAATGCTTTGAAGGTAATTGAGTTCAGAATACTTTCAAACTTTCAGTCCTGCCATTGGTATTGATTTGGATAATTTCAGCTAGACACAGGCTAATCACCAGACCCATACTCTCCCGTTCTCTAATGTCTCTTATAAAAGGAGGGCATGAGTATTGTCTCCCATTGAAGATGAGGTAGAAACAAATAGAATTTTCTAAGTTAGACACCTCAGGTTTTGGTTTTTTTTTTCCACCATTGCATTTAGCCACAGGCTACACAAGATATTATATGCTTTATTACACGTGTAAAGCCAAGAAAAAGCACAAAATAATTTTGGTTTTATCCTGACTGAACTTTCTTTTTCTTGTGCACACAGGGAGGCAGAAATTGATTCTGACGTCTGTTCTAACCATTATGTAAACTATTAGTAAAATCCTATTTTTTTGTTTTTTTGACTGTTTTTTGACTTTTTTTTGCTTGTGGCTTTTTTCTTCAGGGTGGTGAAGAAGGTGAATACTCACTTACAGCCTACATTGTGGCAGCATTGCTGGAGGCTGGACACTCTGTTCAGGTAGGTAGTTGATGCAGTTATCGTTTTTTTTTTTTAGTCTGGTCAGCCACATGTTAAACAATGAACAAGTCTTTGTACTCACATAAATTTATTTTTAATATCTTAAATTCTTGTGCAGTATGGTCAGCACAGCACTGTTTCCAGAACCCTGCAGCTGCCATCAGCGTGGTTGTTGTTTATTTGTCCAATTTGTATGGATTCATCTGATTGCATAGAATCCCTAAGGAATTCAATTGTGATAAACAATAGTAGTCCATTTGTATGCATAATCCATATTGGGTTTACCTACTCCATTCAGAGTTAGTCTGAAATTCACTCTGGATTTGCCCAGTTCTAAATCCAAGATATCCAAATCTCCAGTTCTACAGATCACCTCTGTACATTTAGGTCCATGTTGTGTGTCATTGTTAAAAATGAAAGGAAATGATGAGCTACTGGTTGGAATACTTACTAAGTGTGGGAGAATGAGAAATGAGTTTTGTTCTCTGTAATATACTTCTTGAATATCCTTGAGACCCTGACCTGATTCTTTGTTCTTCGGTAAAACAGGGATGATTATAATTGTTCCCATTCTTACAAATATGATCTAAGCATGCTGAGTTTTACAAGACCCTCAGATACTGTGGGATGGGGCATAATTTATGTACTTAAGGTAGACAAGACAAAAGCATTGTGCAGCACTGAATAATTCTGTACCTTTGAGGGCTTAGTTCCCAATATCTTTTATAAGAAGCTCCAAAGCCTGGTGTCAACCTCTTTAAGCGAGACTGCATAGACAAACTGCTACTATAGTTATTAGTGTGCATGTGATACCTAATCTGAACCAGGGCTCACAAAGATAATCTATAGGGATAAAAGGTTGAAGAGTTATCTTGATAGCTATAGCTTGCAAATGAGTAATAACACCAATATGAGAGAGCTTGCTTCATCATGACTTTTCAGTACACTTTACAGAACTCTGTAAAACTGATGAAGCAGTTTTTCTTTCTAGATGAAGCAACCAAAAGTCAAAGGATTCTCTTGCAAAAGATCATCTCACAGGTCAGGAGAAAGAACAGTACTCTGTTAGTTCTCCAAATGAAAGCAGAAACAAAGTAGCACTGCTGCAATATCATATTTTAAAAGAGACACATTATAGGCCCTTAAATGTAGAACTGATTTTGTATATTTTAGAGTGAAGAATCATATGATAGCTTGAGAAGTGATGAAGGTCTTTAAAGGGAAGCTGAGACACAAACCAGAGTACCTGATGACTCTACTGTATTTTGTCCTAGCATCCTGTGGTTTGGAGTGGCATGAACTGTTTGGAGACTGCATTTAGCAATGGGGTCCACAACCTGTATAACTATGCCCTCTTTGCCTATGTTTATGGCTTAGCTGACAAACAGGAAAGATACCAATACTTTCTTGAAAAGTTGGACCAAAGAGCTACCAGAAATGGTGAGTGCAATTGGCCATGATGCAAGTAATAAAGCTAATGGAATGGCCTATGGATGTAAGTTATTCTAATATATGTTTTTCTCTCTCATGCTGTTCCCTTCCCATTTCATGTCTGAATTTATTTCTATGAACTTCTCTCTGTCTTTTGGCCTCACTATGGATTGAGCTGTGGACTGATGTTCTTAGAATTGTTAAATAATCTAGATGGGAAAAGACCTCAGGAAGACTCCAGTCCAACATTATGGAAGACTGCATCTAGTTTTCCCATTAGCCTTCTCTTCTACAAGCTTGATTAGTTCATTTTACTGTGTCATGTACTCCAGCTCATTACCATTTTGGCATCCTTCTGCTGCACTGCTTTCACATCATAGAATCATAGAATGGCTTAGGTTGGAAGGGACCCCAAGGATCATCAGGTTCCATTACCCCTGTCACAGGCAGGACCACCAGTCTCCAGACCTGGTGATAGACCAGGCTGCCCAGGGCTCCATCCTGCCTGGTCTTGAACACCTCTAGGATGGGGTATCCCCCTTTTTGACTTGTACTGCTCCCTTTTATTAATTTCCTTCCTGTTTTCTTTTCCTCCTTGAAACTGACATTCATATAGCTTAGAACATTAAGAGCTAAAAAACCCTTTTAGATAAAGGAAGGGTGGGAATTATATGCCTGTCTCCCATGTGATACTGTAGTGAATTAACTAGCAAGTATTTTTTAATGCTTTTTGCATTTTTTTTGTTTGTTTTTGTTATTGTTGTTCTGTATTCAGATGGTTATGTTTTTCTGTTTTCAGATGGTTCAGTTTACTGGCAGAGAGAAAATAAGCCACCAGCAGAACACTTCCCTGCTTTCTATTCCCGTGCCCCTTCTGCTGAGATTGAAATGACCAGCTATGTGCTTCTGGCTTTGCTCAACAAAGCCAAACTCACACCAGATGACTTATCATATATTTCTCGCATTGTGTACTGGCTTGTGAAACAACAGAACCCATATGGTGGTTTCTCCTCCAGCCAGGTGACAACTGGGTGTGGTGAAGAGAATATCTGTTGGGAATAGTGCAGCCTGCAAGGTTTCTTCCTCATTGTACATTCAGTTGAACAGTATTTGATAAGTGGTGCCTACATAAGTCTTGTTAGAGCACACTGAGCTCTTTCTTGGAAGCTTTATATATGTGTGTGTGTGTGTGTGTATATACATATATAAAATTTACTTTTTTATATATTATATATATTATATATATATATATATACAGTAGGAAATAGCAATTCATCTGATTTTCAAGTTAGCAGAAGACAACAGTAACTGTTGATAGAGCATTAATCCTGGGATAATTCATGCCCAGTGCCCCAGAACTTGTAGCTTCTCTCCTTGTCTCTTTACAAAGTCCTCCACCATTTATGTGCCCTGACAAAGGAAAATAGCAGCTTTGCTAATCTCATGTGCTATTTCACAGCTGGATATCTACCTAATTAGGGATAATACTTTTTTCTTTTCAGGACACTGTTGTTGCCCTCCAAGCTTTAGCCCAGTATGGATACCTCACCTTCTCTAAGGAAAGTAGTAATACAATTAAGGTCAACTTCATGGGAATCCCCAACAAGGCTTTCCAGGTGAATGACAACAACCGCTTCTTACTGCAGCAAACTTCCCTACCCATTGTTCCGGGGAATTACAGTGTGGAAGTGGATGGCACTGGCTGTGTCTATATGCAGGTAAATAAGCTGAAACTCACCACCACCCTGCTGAAGACTAAGTAGGAGTCATCTCTGCCTCATTCCCTTCTCATAGCTAAGCCACTAGAATCTGTGACCATCTCACACTTTTCATTTCTTTTAGACAACCCTGAGATACAACATCCATTTACCAAAGAAAGCTGCAGGGTTTTTTCTCTCTGTAGAGTCAGCCAATGTGTCCTGTACAAGCAACTTCCCACCAAAGTTTGACCTTGTCTTCACTGCCAGGTAATTTCCTTTTACTGATTTACCCTTTTGCATTCTCAGTTTGGTGAAGCATCTCAGGAAGGACTTAAATATAGACAGTTAACTGTTACTGTGCAGGAAGACAAACAGGACATATCCTGAAACACTTTTGTCCTTCATTGCTAAATTTTTCCTATATGCTATACATCACTGGGACACCAGGACCATCCAATAAAGAGATTATCTGAGTTATCTATGAGTTGGAGCTGGAGATGTCTTTCAGTGGTCTCCTCTCCAACTGCAGATTAACAGAACTTTTCTCATTTCAGTTACACAGGAAATCGTAATGTCTCCAACATGGCTATTGTTGATGTGAAGATGCTCTCAGGATTTAATCCCGATAGATCTTCCCTGAAAAAGGTAAAGAATGAGAGGAAAATGAATAATAAACCCTAGAAATATAGGAAACTGATAAAAATATGTCTGATCAGTAAGTTGCGGTCCCATGGGACTTCTACAAAACCTCTGTCTTCTAAATTATAATAAATTCTGTGTCAGACTTGCAGCTGTTCATCTGATGAAAGCAAATTTGTTAGGAGCTGCCAAGTCCAGTAGCCCAAAAGAGATGAAAATGTTATTGCCGTGACCAGCCAATAGTAAGGCTAAAGATGTATTTCCAGTCGGTACATGCACACAACAGACATATACATCTGTATTCATATACACAATATACACATATACAGAAAAGAGCATTTATACAAACATATTTAGCACAGATGAACTTGTCATCTTCCCCTTTCTGTCTGATCAAGATGAAAGATTATCTGTGGAAAATATTTTTTCTACACCTGCATAAACGCAATGCGGTTCTCTCTAGTAGCTGGCTCCAGGTCAGTCTGACCAATAGCTGCCCTTGAATTCTTGGTCTGATACATATTGCCTTATGTTTACACCTGCATATATACGCACCCTTGCACCTAAACATGTGTATAGGTGCACCTGATAGGGTAACTCCATCAGCTGGCCTTAGACACACTGATTCAGAGGGGTTTGGATCCCATTTTCCCAGTTGTTGTACTAAGACACACACACACATGCAAACACACAAAGATTGGTCTCTCTCCTACCTAGTCCAGGTGAGTGGTCAATATGTGAGCCTCAAGAACCTACTGGTTTCTCTATCGACAGGTTCAGACGTCCTCATAGGTGACTCAAATCCTGTTTTCTTCAGCATTTGGCTCATACTTATGCCAGCTTCCATATTGGGCTGCCAAGCCACGAAATGTACTCACACGCTAGTCCATTTTACATCCACCAGCAATCTCACACTCATTTACACACCTGCACACACTTTACATGCAGTCTGGACTACTGGAACCCCATGCATATGTTCCTCTTTGATCCATGTTTCCTTCTTCAGCGTCTAGTAGTCTGTGCATATAGAGAACAGACAGTTCCTCACCAAGAATAAGAGTTTGAATTTAATAAGAAGGCAGGACAGGCTGCAGTGATCTTAGAGAGGATGCTGTCAGACTAGTGTACTGAACAGAAATGTTCTGTTTAAATGTAACTGGCCTCTTTTGTCCTATTTTCCTTCTATTTCCCCATACTTTTTTCCTCCCAGTCTAACTTTATCTCTTTCTTTGTTACTTCTTTCTCTGAGCATTCCATAATAATTCTTTCTCAACCACCAGCATCCCATACTCAGTCCCATGCCCCTGCAGCATTCCCTTCTCACTCTGTAAGGTGATCCAGCAATTTTCTGCTGTTGATTCCTTTAGTATGCCTCACTCAGTATGCATGGTGGGGTTGGTCACTCACCTGTGGCAGCCCTAGAAGGAGCCAGGTTAACTTTTCTCCATTCCTTTGCACTCCTTTGTGTTTGTGGATATGATTACTTAATCACACAGCCTCATAGAATCTAGGTAGGAAGAACTTGAGTAAATGAGCATTTTACAAGTTTAGTTCTTTGATTTGTTTATCTATTCCTATACAGCACAGTTTAATGGGTAGAAAAGAAGCAGGTATTCCTCGTCCTTCATCCATAACTTTGGTCACGATGTTGGTAATAGTTCAGAGAGTATTGTTGATAACTTAATTTCACTTTCTGGAGTGATTTAGGCTTTATAACAAATATATCATCTTCAAGTCATGAAACTTACCCACAAAGTTGATAAAAATAAGAATGCGATTCATTGTACAATCTTCTCATAGTGTGGTGCATTGGTGCATTTAAAACCAATAATTATTCAGGTTTGAATTCCTCCCCTCCCTCTGGAACTGTAAGAAATTCTTTGTAAGATTTTTTTGCATTGAGATGTTATACTGTTTCACGTCCTACCCTTTGCATCCACATGGGAAAAATGAATGGTTTTAGTATTTTGAACATTTTATTTTCATGTATTTTCATAGTAAAATAATTTTTATCATATGGTTTTCTAAAACTTTTTTAAACTTTTGGTTTTTTAAATTACATAATGCACTAGAAAATGAGTCATTTTGACTTGTAGAAATGATCATGCAATCATAGATTTTTACTGAAATGAGACAACTCTCAAGCTGATAACAAGAGAAATACATCCCAAATTTGACTAGTAAACCAGGATATTTTTTTCACTGGTAATTGGTTTGTACTTACCATCTTGTGAAAAGTAAACTTCTGGTATTTTTTTTATTTTGGTCACAAGATGTCGTGGTGGCACAACTGGAGAATGGCAGCCACTTCAGACATATTTTCCTCACAATTTTTGTAATTTTTTTTTATTTATTATTAAGTATTAATCAATTAATATTTTTACTCCTCCTTGGCAAGTTGCCCATGCTAAAATTGATATAATCTTTTATTTATAGCTTCAATACCAACCTTCTGTTGTGGATCATGTAGACATCAAGAATGACCACATCTTCTTCTACCTTCAGAAGGTAGGTTTGGAGGTATTTTCTTTGGTTTTGTTAAACTGGAAATTTAAAATAGGCTCCCAAATAACAAAAAATGTCATCAGAAGCAGATTAGGAATATGAACAAGAAAAGAGCACAGAAGTTTTGCAACAAAACATATTCAGTAACAGCATTTAAACAGTTATTTGATTTGACATGAAGTTTATGATCTTGAGAGGACTGTAGGATGGCACTTTGTCACCCCGTCTGACCCAAAAATGTGACTGAACCTTACGCATGGGAACAGACATGAAAAGAAAAGGCCTGCATCTTTTTGTCTTGCCATTTCCAGCTCTCCCAGAAAGAAGTCAGCTTCTCCTTCAGTGTAGAACAAAGTCTGCCTGTGTCAGATATCAAGCCAGCACCGGTACATATTTATGATTACTACGAAACAGGTAGGTGACCTCTGTAGACCTACAAAACCTATGAAATCAAGGTATTTATTTCATCATTTCCTAGGTGAGGACAGTGGATTTTCCTTCACTGCTTCTGTGCAAGCATCTGTTTATGTTTCTGCATTTGCAGCTTTTATTTCTCTTTGTTAGAGAGCAAACTAGCAATTTTTCTGCTTTATGTTACTGGACTGCAAGGAGTTTGCAGAACCATAAAGAAGCTGTCCTCCATCTTTTCATTTCTTGCTTCATTTAGGCAGAAAGCAGATAAGAAAGTGATGTGTCATGATTTGCTTCCTAGCAAACTACATATGGAAAGAAGTATGGTTCCACTTTCTTTCCCCAGCTTGGACATGATAATAACACAAAGGCAGCAGTGTTCCCAACATCCCCAAAATAGCTTGTCTCATCTTTTTAACACTGCCACAATAGGCTGTGGTCAAAAAACTATTCTGGACTTTATAGCTTAAGTAGGAATGACAGTTCTACTGAACTCAGCAGGAGTTTAAGCACCTATGAATATGAATAGAATATGAAGTGCCTGACCACCTTTCTACATCCAGCCTCAAGGAACTATAAATGCATCAGACATTACCAATTGTGGCAGGTTTGTTATCAAAACTGTGCTTTGAGTTCCATAAGCTTTTCTCAAGATTGGTGTAACTTCTCAGCAGAGTAGCAGTAATATCCAGAGAATTTTTCCCGAATGCCTATTCAGCCACCTTACGTATATATCATGCGGTCACAAAAATAATGCATCTTAACAAACATTGCCAGAGGAGTGCATTATGCACTGACCACGTAGGCCTGCAAGTGAGCACCTTGAAACTGGAAGAACATCACAAAATCTATCAAATGTTTTCTGATTCAGCATGGTACACATGGACTGGGGTCAGAATGATTTCTTACTTTAATACAACTGTCAGATTTCTTTTTTTCTTTCCAGATGAATATGCCTTTGCAGAATATAAAACACCTTGCCTCCCACCTTCCAACTGAAATCAGATATGTGCCGAAGTAATGGGATAGAAGGTATCAGACAAACATTTGTAAAGGACCTTTTTCTGGTGAGGACAATGGAAAGCATATAGAGGAATAAGGAATAAGCAAATCCCAACTTTTAGTCTTTGAAAATGACTTATACTGGCCCAGGCTTCAAAAAAAAAAACAAAAACCTTTGGGTCAGTGTGGATCAGAAACTCTAAATAATGTGGGTTTCCTAATAGAAGAGGATCTGTACAGTCATCCACCTTTTTGGAAATACATGCCATAATTTCAGTGGCAGCTTTATGTAGAAGAAAACTCCTGAAAATGCATTCTTGGCCACAGATTCCTCTTAAAAAACCTAACATTTGGAGAAAAATCTGCTGCTGCTGGTTTTTTGCTTTTTCTATTATCCTGTGGAAAGACTCAAGAAATGACATTGATTTCCACGTTTCCTGTGATTGAACTTGGGGAGCATTGCTTGCAGATGTTAAGTTTCTAGTTACAAGAAGACAACTTTTATGCAGTTTTTGCTTCCATTTAGAAAGATTATCTCCAGATTAATATCTCATATTTTACTGTTGCTTGAAATAAAATGTTCTGATTGGTAATACTATTTTTCTCAGTCCTCACTCTTTGTTATATGGGTGCTATAACGTTTTTCATTAGCTAAAAAACTCATACCATTCATAGGCCAATCGTTGGCATCTTGACACCAGTAACGTCTTGTGACACAAAGTATCAGGGCTTTGCCTTTTGTGATGGGAGCTTTATTGCCAAAGCATGATAGTGTAGAATAAAACAGAGCTGCAACACAGGAACTCTTTTGAGAATGTTTTAGGGAGGAACAGTGAATTTGTGTTTGGAGAGAGAAAAATGAAAGCCACAGGGAACTTAAGATGAGGCAGGGGTGAACTGCAAGAGATTTCCTGTCATGTTTTCTTCATTTAATGAACAAGTACAGCAGACAGCCGCACACTGTGGCTACTGCCCCTCACAGTCTGTAGTAACCAGAAATGACCTTTTTCCTGACTAGCCCATACTGGTGAGAGGATGTAGAAATTATCAACATATCCATAACAATGTGAGCATAAATCTGCCAATTGAATTATATCACTGAATTATATCACAGGGTACCAAACATTGACTTGTTTGAATGCAGTTTTCTCCAAGTTCAGACCTGAGGTAGGGTTCGTGTCCTCCAGCATGGACTGGGTTATTACAACTTTCTTCAATTTAATCCATGGTTGTCCAACCTTTTGACTTGCCTGGGCCACATATAAAATATATAATAAACTTAATGTATATAGGTAACACAACTTATTTTTTAATGTAGTTTTTATTATAATATAAAACAGGGAGGAAAAAAACATGGAACTAGTGGGATGTTTGACCTTGTTTTTGTGAAACTAATGCATCAGACTGGTTTGATGGCAGTGGTTGCCATATCTAGTGAGTTCTTAAGGTGTTTGTCAGAGATTTTTGAGGAACTATTGCTCTTCCTGTTCTTCATCCTTGGTAATACTTCTTCACAAATGTATGTACTGCCAAACATGACATGAATAAGGTGTGACTGTGAAGGAAGGAATATTTTTTTTTCTGGTAAGACAGGGCTTATGAAAGTTTGGTAAAGAAATATGACCAAATTTTTGTTGAGTTGAATGTCTGATTGCAACTCTGTACATTCTATGTGTAAATATAGAAGTATGTATTTATGTTGACCGAAAATGGAGTTCCAAACATACAAAAAAAAAAAAAAAAGACTATTTTTGAAATCTTAAAGCCTATTCTCAAATTTCTTTATCAAAGTGGAAAGCATGGCTATAGATTTTTCACTGTTTGCAGGACTGTATTTAGCCAATGCATGAAGTTGTTTGCCATAACTTGAGCTTGCCATTATTTAATTTCAAACACTGTTATTGTCTGAAATATAGCAGAGATAAGGTGATTTTCCACCTTGAAGACTTCTTGTTTAACTCATTTAAATAAGCAGTCAAATCCACCAAAAATGCTAAATCTGGAAGCTATTTTTAATCTTCACATTCTGGTACAAATTTTCCTCTTGATTTCATAAAGGACTTGATGTCACTTTGCATAGTTTTTTCTAGCATTTCATATAACCACCTTCCTTCAGAAAAATAAATGATGACCCCATAATCAGAATCCATACTTTTAAGGAACACTCAGTTGGTGATGATTCCATTCCTTTGACATCATGAAATTCACAGCTTTGATGACTATTTGCATGACATTAACCATTTGAACATAAATTTTCCTTATGTTAGATGCAGTGATATTTCATCAAACGTGAGCTACCAGTGCTAACTGCATCATCTTCTATTAATTTTATAAATCTCTCTTTTTTACCTACCATTACCACAGCACCATCAGTAGCTATACCAGATACGTTGACAAAGGTTAAAGGAAATTGTTTCAATTTATTTTTTTACTGCTTCATACAATTCAAGAGATTAAGCTGTGTTCTTCAATTGCACCAAAGAATGTCTTCAGTAACATTATTATTATTATCAATATCTCTAATGAAAATGTCAAGTTGAGCCATATCTGTAGCATCTCTCTAGAGATGAAAGCATTTATCGCCAAAGCATAAAATTTGGAATTAGCAGCTTTAGTCTTCAATTCTTTTCTTCAATAGATTTTCCTTTTTTTTTTTTT